GGGGGGGGGGCCTGCCTCCCCCTTCCTGCCCCCCGCACTGAGCCACCCTGCTGCCAAGGGGCGGCGTGGCTCTGGCTCTGCTTGCTCCCACGCTGCAGGAGTCGGCAATTTCCCAGAATCCTTTGCACTCACGTTTTAAAGGAGGCCATGGCAGCTGAGAGCAAAGGATTCTGGGCCGTGCCGGAGGCCTCACCAGAGCGGGCAGTGCCCAGAGCAGCCGGCGGGCAGGGGGGGCAGAGGCGGGGGGGGCACAGCAGCCCCCCGCCCGCGCCCTCACACAGGGGGGTCCCCTCCCACCATCAGCCTTGCCCGCCCCCGGGAGAGGACAGGGCTGCCTGCGGCATGACCCTGCCAGCGTGCCGGCCTTTGACGCTCCCCGGCAGCAACTGCAGGGGGCGCAGCGTGTCAGGACCCGGGGACACCGATTTTCCAGAGGCTCTCCCAATTGGGCAGGACCCCTGGGGATGGGCCCCATTGGCCCCGTGGCTAATCCTCCACTGCCCATCACGTTCCCATCATGCCTTGAGCCGCAGCACCCCCCACTGCATAGATGAGGAAACTGAGGCACACAGGCAGTGTCAGGAGCAGAAGCCCCCAGTGTCCTGCTAGCTGGTGCTGCCTCATTACCCCGGGCCACGAGCATGAGCCGGTGACACAAGCGGGTGCCCGGGGCCAGAGGCACCTGTCTGCACCTGGGAGGGGCACGGCGCTGGAGGCCACTAGCAGAGGCAGCCATAGCAACCAAAGCACCTACAGCATCTTCCTTAGCGACGGCACACCTGGCAACGGGCCCTGAGGGACAGCTTCAGGCAGAGGCTGGGGCCAGGGCCTGGACATGTGCAGAGCCCCCTGTGAATCCATGGCATCTGCTGCCTCCCCTCCCAGCCGAGGGCAACCGCTCCTGGATCTCCAGGCTGTGCTCACAGCCCACAGGCGCTCCCCAGGTGTTGGGTGAAACCTGCACCTCACGTCTTTCCGAGCGGGGCATGTCCCGGCCGCACAGCCCCCTGCCTTCACTGCGTGCTCCCAGCCTGGGCCGGCTGCTTCTCCCCAGAGGCCGGGAAAAGCTACAGCTCTCGGCCGGCCCACGTCAGGCTGCAGGCAGACAGCCTGGGAGAAACCCCACAAGAACCCACCAGGCAGGCTCAGGCCCCCCACTGTCCCCAGACCTGGGCTGTCTGTGGGCCAGCGTGCCGGTCCCTTGGCTGGGCCAGGAGGCCCTGAGCTACTCATGCACCAGACTCTGCTTTGCAGGCTGGGCTCTGGGGAGCCAATCTCCCCCGGGGCGGCCCCCCGAGGTGCGGCGGAGGTTCACCAGCCCCCAGCCAGAGAAGGTGCAGCAGCGCTAGGCCCCGCGGACACGGCTGCACTGCCCCGCCGGGGTGAACCCGATTCCCCGCGACCGAACGCCGTTCCGCGGAATGCCCACACACTGGCTGTGAGTCTCCGCCGGGTCCTGCCCTGGGGGGCACGCTCCAGCACCCCGCCCCACCTGAGCAAGCAGCAGGCGGCTGAACCAAACCCAAAGGCCACAGGGGCCAGGGCCCTCCACTCTGCCGGAGCCGGTTCCCCGAGGCACATGCCCTCCCGCTGCCGGCTCACGCTACCTTTGGGCCTGCCACCTGCCCAGCAACCCCCTCTCCCGCCGGAGCGCTGCATGCTGGGAGCCCGACTCATAGCCCACTCCTGTGCGCACAGGGCCCATCGGCTCTGCTTGCACCGCGGAGGCTGGGGCACCGTCCGGACTCGCGCTTAGTCCCTCTCACCGCTGCGGTCTGGGCAGGCTCCATGCAGACCAGGGGGATCGGGCATGGGAAGAGCCAGCGGGGGTGCTGGGGAGGCCAGGAGCGGAGCCCGCCCACACAGCTGGCCCGATGCTGAGCAGTGACTGACAGCCAGCGTCCATCTCCAGGCACCCTGCTCTTCAGAGCCGGCGCACACAAAAGGCAAACGTGATACAGCAGAGGGATCTATTCAGAGAGCAGGAGCTTCCGGGCCCCGGCCCGCTGCGCATCCCCTCCCCAGGCTGGGGCCTGCCCATGGAGACCCGCGCAGGTTTCCAGCCCCCTGCCGCTGTCAGACAGAGGACGTGGAATCTAATCTCCGCAGACGCGGCCAGAGCAAACGCGCAGCCCGGCCAGGCCCCGGCTGCCCTCCCCTGACAGCTGCCTGCTCTGCGTTCACCCCACACGCACCTTTCCTCCCGCATCGCGGAGTGCCTCCCCGGCGCTGCTACACCCCAGCCAGGCCTCCGGGCTGCTCTGCCATCCTCCTCCTCGCTCCGCACATGCTCACTCCACACGCCCACCCTTAAAGGGAATCCGCACAGTGCTGCAAAGCCACCCAGGCACGCCGTTTGCCAGGGCTCAGCTGCCCCCCGCCCGGCGCTGCCCACAGCAAGTGGCCATTTTGACAGAGGCAGGAAGAGGCTCATTTCGAGTGGAGCTGCAGGGTGGATTCAGGGGCCGGCTTTGGGAGCTCTGGGTCTGGGGCAGTGGCCTACGGCTCAGGGTCAAGGCGATGGGCCTGTCGCTACCTGGGGGGAACCACAGAGCACTCTTCGGTCCAGCCGGCAGAGGCACGGACGCTAGACAAGTTCAGAGGGGCACTGCGGGACGGAGAAGGGTGCAAGGGGAATTGGCCCTCGGACAACTGACCGAGGCTTTTTCAAAGCTGTTTTCCAATCAAGAGGTGGATGTTTTTCTAAGAGATCATCTCTGGTTCAAGATGGGGTTAATTCAAGGCTTGCTGCACGGGGCGGGGGGTCAGACTAGCTGGTCCCCACGGTCCCTGTCACTGCCTGTCCCCAGCCTGTGAAATCCTCCTTCTTCCAGCTGTAGGAATCCTCCTGGAGCAAGCCAGCACACGCCCCGGGGGCACACCGGCTAGCCAAGCAGAAGCTGGTGGGTGGGGTGTTTCCCCCTCACCCCGGTTAGACAACAGGGGAGGACTTTTCCTGTTCACCCTTCGGCTCAAGGCAGCAGCACCATTTCCAGGCGAGCTCTGGGAACGCCAGACCGTTTCGGCCTGGCCGTTCGGCTGGGAATGGTCTGAGCACCTGGCACACGCATGCACCCACATGCCCATCACAGCAGCCGAGTCCAGCTCCCTTCCATGTGTGACGGCACGTTGGGGGTCCCCCGTCTCCTGCACCCCGAAATGGCACAACCAGACTGCACCAGCCGGTGGAATAGAGGAAGTTTATTGCCTCTCCAGGATACAGCACAGCACATATGTAATCTGGTCACAGAGCTGGGCTAGGATGCCTCAGGCCCCCTTGAGATGGGGGGAGACTGGGCCCCTAAACTCCAGCCCCTTTCCCTAGGCTGTCTCCTCCATGCTCCCAGACAGCAACTAACCCACACTCTTCCAGCCCTGCCCCCCAGCCAGGGCAGCATCCACCTTCCTTTGTTCCTCTCCATGGGGGGGTGTCTGGTTCAACAGGTTTGGCGTCACCTTTGCATAGCGAGGTTTTCCCTGCTGGGTCTTGCTCCAGACAGCAGAGGTCACCACAGCCCAGCAAGTACCCCCACTACGTCACACCATGCCACCCGATTCAAACTCAGGACGCTGTCTGGCTTGGGTTACTGAAAAACACCTGCCTCTTCCTGCTAATGGGAGTGAAGGAAATACTGAGGCAGGGCCTGGCTCCTAGGAGTCCAGGATTCAGTCCCTTGCTCTGCCACAGGCTCCCCAGAGCAGGTGTCTTAGCCGCTCTGTGCCTCAGTTTCCCCCTCTGCAAGCTGAGGATAATACTTCCTGCCCTGTCTGTACTGTAAGCTCTTTGGGGCAGCCACTCTAGAGAATGCTGCCCTGTAGCTCCCCCTGCTGGCTAAACATGGGGCTGCAGGCATGCCCTGCCTCAGTTTCCCTCAGCAGGATTTTCTGTTTCCCCCAGGGATTCACAAGTCACAGCACCCCCAGAGTTAGATTACCTTCCAGGGTGATGAGATTTTCCCACCCCGCTTGGGCTGCCTACAGCCTGCCCCCTGGCTCTGTCCCCAGCTCCTCTAGGTCACCTTTCAGTCTCTCTACACTGGGACAGAGCACTGACTGACTGCCCCCCCCCAGTCCTTCCTGGGCCTTCCACAGGAGCACAGCTCCCTGGGCATCGGTGCAGGCTGCCGCCCGCCTGCACCAGGCCTGCCTGTGACGTAGTGGGGGGACCTTACTGGTTGCTAGGCTTGGGCTGTGGGTGACCCCCACTGGCTGCTGTCTGTACCACGGCCCAGCTGAGTAGCTGATGGGAAGGGAGGTAACCTGTTCTACCAGTTGCCCCCCAGGGAGAGGAACAAAGGAAGGTGGAATGCTGCCCCTGGCTGGGGGGCAGGGCTGGAAGGGACAATCTGGAGGTTTCTGTCTGGGAGCATGGAGGAGACAGCCTAGGGAAAGGGGCTGGGATTTAGGGGCCCAGTCTCCCGCATCTCAAGGGGGGCTGAGGCATCCTAGGCCTGCCCTGGAACCAGATTCCATCTGTGCTGTGCTGTATCCTGGAGAAGCAATACACTCCCTCTATGCTACTGGCTGGTGGAGTCTGTCCGTGCCATTACGGGGGTGCAGGAGACGGGAAAACCCCAATGCGCCGTCACACCTTCCTGGGCCTTCCACAGGAGCACAGCTCCCTAGGCATCGGTGCAAAGGCTGCTAATTGGGGCGCAGGGGGTGACTGAACAGGGCTGGCTAGCAGCAGCCCACCTGGTTACAGAGGGTCTGTGTGTCTGTCCAGCCCCAGCACTGCAGGGCCCTGATCTGAGCTGGCACCTCTGCGGGGCTGTCGACACGGCATGAAACACTGCACCGGGCAATGGGGCGCAGCGGGGCCACGTTCTGTTGCTCACACAAGCCGGGCTCAGAGACCAGCCCCTGCGTGAGAGCGTCCCCCACCCCCGCCCGGCAGCAGCACCAGGCACACGCCTGCCCACACAGGCTCCGAGAACAAGCGCCCACCGGGCCTGGCTGTCGGATGCCTGCAATTTCCTTCCCACACGGCATGTGGGGCCTGCGTGTTTCCAAGGCAACGGCGGCGGGG